AGGATGGACGACATGGCACGAACCCACCCGCAGCACCCAACGTTCAGAAGGTCTTCATCCAGCGAGACTTCTCGGAAGGAACAGGCTGCAAGTTCCAGTCCAAGTTTCCGCCTGAACTGGAAGGGAGGGTCAGTTTTTATTTGCACATTTGATTTCGAGATGGCATAGATGCCATCTATAGTTTTTGAATGTTTAATTGGAAATGATGTTGTCTGCAAATAGGCAAAATTCTGATGCAGCATTGACCCAACATCCAGGGAAAATGGTGAAAAATTCAGATTATGCACACGTGCAGTACAGTCTATTGACAAAAAAATCACATGTTCACTTCTAGAGGTTATTAATTATTATTTGAGAAGGTCAGAAGATCTCTAGATCTGTATCGGTATAGCTGGTATAACCGCCCTTTGGCGTAACACACCAGCTTCGCAGGGCACGCGGCACAGCGGCAGCTGGCTATGTTACACTGAACGACCTGTTACGTCCAATCTTTGTACATTTAATTGCAGTTGAGTTTAATTGAGTTGTTTAGAGGTTTCTAGTGATTATGCCCCAACTGATGTCCAAAAACAGTTGAGCTACGATTCACTGAAATAGAAATTCTTGGTGTCCCTTATGATGACCTGATGTGAAAATGTATACTAAGTGCCCTGTACATGTTTTTTGCCCTGCAGGTAGAGAGAACAGCATTTGTAGCCACCATCAACAGAATCAACGAGTTATTTGGAGAAGCTGAGCGGGTGGGAGGAGCCACGTACTGTGAAGGGTGCATGGGATGTCTGACAGCATATCTCATCTATCTTTGTATCGACACACATTATGAAAAGGTGGGGTTCTCAGTGGATTTTTTTTTTCAACTTAAGGCATCAAATGCAACTTTAGGGCAGCAAAACAAAATTCTGGACGAGGAAATCTTTCTTAGTACATTTTCGCCATCATTTTGTACTTGAAGCATTTGAAATATGAAAAGGTGAGGTTCCCAGCGGAATTTTTTAAAGGCATCTATTGTAATTTTACATGTGTAACTGTTACATGTAGTATTGTGTGTGTGAAAGTCCCATCCGTTGTCAGTGTGTACATGTAAGTTAGTATTGTGTGTGTGAAACTTGAAAGTCCTATCCACTGGCAGTGTGCAGTATTATTTTTATATAGTATTAAGAAGTCTGTCGTTTTTTGTGGTGCAGGTTCTGAAGAGGATAGCGCGGTACATCCAGGAGCAGAATGAGAACATCTACATCCCCAGAGGTCTACAGCTGGTGGACCCCATCGAACGAGGGCTCAGAGTTGTATCCTTTTACATTTATTCTCTAGGGTCAGCGATTTTTTCTAGGGTTGGTCGGGAAACAGGAAACACAACATTTTCATTTTTTTCCTAGGCCTTACCAAATCACAAAGTGGGATGGGTTGAATTGCTTTGGAGTGCAAAGAAAAGGGGAATTCAAATGGGGAAGTTAGATTATAGAATGGAAGTCAAGAAAGACTGCATCTGTTTCCTTTCTTAAAGTTTGAAAGATAGACAGTAACTGTAGCTTCTAGTTCTGTAACTGGTACGGTATGGGTACCCTTGACAAAGGAGGAAAATACTAGTAGTATGTTAAATGCATGTAAAAGGAGCAGTGATTCATAATGCTGGGTTTTTCGAGATCAAGTTGTGAGAGAGCAGAAGAAAAAAGTACCTGAAAACGTTATTGTACACATTCTGTTGTTATTGGAGATGATTGATGTTCTTCCTTAACATGACTTTTACAGCTTGAAATCGTCATTTATGATTCTCCGGTAGGGAGATAGGACAGCCGACATGCAGCAAGACACATCCACATTAACTAAGCAGTTATAGTAAGAATAGAGCTCCATTTGGCCAGTGTCCTCCATGCATTATCATTGGTGACAGTCATCATTCTTTGTGCACAATCTTTTGGTGTCATCATCCTTTATGTACCTCATTTGGCGCCAGTCAATTTGTGCACAATCTTTAGGTGTCGTCATCTTTTGTGCACTATCATTGATGTCATCATCAATTGTGTGGCTGGGCCCCTTTCAACTAATGTAGGGACCATTCTGTTAATCTGTGTATGGACAAATTTTGTCCATACAGCTGAAAAATCACTGGCCGCATCCTAAAATGCTGTCAATACAATTTACACAAGGAATCATGCCAGAATCACATGTCATAAAGAGAAAATGTTTTTTCCAGGCTCTAAAATGATGCAACATGGTACCCTGGGAATGGTATTTCTTTTGTTGAAATCTGTAATTATGTTCAATGTTGAAGGTACTATGTATTGTTTACATATATCTCAAACAAATAGTTGTTTGTTGTGTAGGTGTCTGCGCTACACTGTCAACAACAGGTGGACAAATTTCTTGTTTGCCAGAAAGTAGCTGAATTTCAGAACAGCTATAGAGTAGTGTGTATTTTTGTCCTGGAAATGTCAGTGACTTAAGCTTGTGAATGTAGGTTCTCTACACTGATGAAGAGGACGCTGGCTGTGTTGCTGATGAAAAAGTCCTTCAGGACTGCAGACTTGACAGATATCTTCTGTGATGGAGTCTTCTGTGGAGGCTTCTTTCTTCTTCACTGGGTTCCTTGTGCAATTGAAAAGGCATTTTCTTTGCATGTGCAAAACAAAGAAAAAGGAAGACTATAGAGCGTTTGTATCATAATGAAGCAGGACCACTGAAAGTACCGTACCCGTACATGTAGGTATGCAGTGAGCAGGCTGGTACATGTGGTTTGTGTAGTAAGTGTGGTGTCCTGTAGTGCCATGTCTAGACCGTCCCACTCCTTACAGGGGTAGGTACATGTAGGATAACAGTATATTCAGGAACTCCGAGGGATATACCATCAAGGACTAGAGGGGGGTGGGCCTGTCAAAATGGTTTAGCCTTTTCTCATCTTCAAGCAGATGTTTGTGTGAAAGATCATAAAATATTTTCTGACTGCCGGGCATCTCTAAGAGTTGGGATTCTCTAGCCATGAGTGGCCTTCAGAGAAGCCCAGCAGTTAAAAAATGTCTTCTGCTCAGAGTTTCTCTGCTTTGTGATACATGTAGTTATGTTTGATATAGGTACAGGTTAATCTTTTTTCCACAGTGACATGTCATAGATGCAACTATTTTTAAGCTTTTAAAACAGACCCACCTTTTTCTGGTTCTTTGTGGTGAAGCTCTGATGTTGTCACTTGCTGAGCTGTTATAATTCCTTTTTGAAGTCAAAAGTTAGTAAGAAATGTTGTGTACATTTGTATGTAAAGAAGTAGATGTCTAGGCTAATGTACTTGTACTGTGAGTAACTCCTTGAACAAAAACCTCTCAGATGTTTTTAGCCTGGTATCCAGTCTATCGTGGTGGGGAAAACTGTCTTCTGGGATCTACTAGTAATAGTTTTCCCCTGCCCAGCTCAACAGACCACCTGGTAGAAGTGTTAGGCCTGTGATAGAGTTTGGCACTCTAATTAAACTCCCGTTGTGCAAAACCTACCGGGGAACCTAGCTGAGTTCACGGGTCGGGGAAGAGCTTCTTTAGCCCCAAAGAGAACCCGCCCCAACCTTAATAGACTGAACACCAGGCTAAGATGTTTCCAGATCAAAACAAAAGTCTGTAAGAAATATCTCTGAAACTGTAACAAAGTTTGCGGAGGATGCAAAGGTGTGTTGCACCAACAAAATCAAAATAAACATGAGTAGGGCACACTGAAGTGGTCAATGGCCTTTGGGTACAAATTTGTGTTTGCAATCAGACTATGTATCTTATGGCCGGTATAACCGGCCTTCAGTATAACATGCCATATCCGGCGGCGTTCTTTATTATGACTACGGGATGGACGATACCACACCACTTTCAGCACAGGGGTATCAGCTTATTATGCAGCAGTACCTAAAAATATTGCTAGAGTACCCCAAGTTAAATGCCCATTTTTCTTTGGGACCACACCAAAATTTAAACCATCAAAAGGATCATTTATTTTTTTTAGCAAAAAAAGTACCCCATCTGATGTATCCCTACTTCACAGAGGTAGCAAAAACAAAGTCCATGTTCAAGGTTTCACAGCAGTATAAGGACCTACTAACCCAACTGAGCTAACTTGTATATTGACTTGACACTGTATAAAGTATATCATTTTTCTCCAGTTGATCTATATATGAAAATTACATGCTGTCATCACCTGTGTTCAATAAAACAGACTAAATGTATGATTTGCTGATTTTTGCTCTTCCCTTTTATACTGTAAACCGATTAGTACATGTAGTCCATGGTAATTATCAAACTTGTTGGGATGAGAATCATATTGTCTTATCAAAACGACTGCAGTAAGGGGTTAAAAGGAATCAGTCTTCAATCAAAATGGTTGTTTCTGATTCGTGTTATCAATGTTATGATGAGGACAACACATGAATGTTTACACAATTAAGGTTCAAAACAAATCTGGATATATGAGTCTTATGATGGTAGCTAAGAACGTTATGTTTTTCGGGGCTTTGTGTGTGTGTTTTTGTGTGTGTGTGTGTGTGTGTGTGTGAACAGCATAACTTGGGAAGCTGTGGATGGATCATAATGATATTTGGGTAGGTCTCAATGACACCTCAAATGACCATTGATTATGTTTCTGGCCCCAAGTGGATTTTTATGGTACTGCAGTGGAACTGCCAGTTCTGATATCCTCCGTGTTCTGGACATACATTTTTTTTTAGTGGTAGATAGCTCCTGTGCTAGAAAAGAAGTAGTAAGGTTAAGGCCTTATAGCAGTTTCTTTTGGAACAGCAGTTGCATTTTTGTTGCGAGAAGATAACTTGAAGAGCTTGATGGATCGCTGTGATTTTTGGTATGTAGGTGGTGGTGACAATTATGCAAATCATTTGATGAAAATTAATCCCACCCACCCACCTACTAAATTTCATTGCGATCCATTCACAGCATCTCGAGTTATCCCGCGCACAAGCAGACCATCAAATTCAAAACGTCCACTGCAGTAGGCCCATTCTCGAACTTGACCTTCGTCTCCCCAACGGAAACCTGCCTACCAAATATCGTACATCTATGGCACCAAGAGTTATGCCGCATAAATCCACAGTCACCGGACCCCACCATACAGCCAAACCGAATGCATAACCTCCCGGCGGAGGTGAAATGTTAGCCTGTTGACCAAACCTATTTTAGCTGCGGAGAGGATGAAAGAGACCCGGCAGCTAAATTCATTTGGTCACCAGAATAGGAAAATGGTTTTCAGGGTTTAGATTGATAGCGAACGTTAGGTCAAACAGCTGCCCTTGGCGTTTTTCGAGCTATTTTCGGTGGATGCAGGAAAATTGAGAGAGAAACACGTAGAAGGCGGGGCCGATCGTATTACCGATTTGAAAGGTTTTCTGGACAGGTATTAGCGATAAGGGGCGGGAAAAACATCACGGGATATTTTCGTGACTTCCATTGGTTTAAAATCCGGGACAGAGAGGCCACAAGCTTAGCTCCCCGCCGGTGTAAGTCATACCATAATTACCGCACGGTGTTTGTTCTAAGCCTTGAAGATCCCAGAAAATTTCTCTGGCCGGATGACTGTTCTTCCGAAGGATCGTCTGTCTAATTTCCCCTGAGGAAATGGCGCTTTCCCCCCGGCAGCCGTTTTAATGGCTACAATGTGTCATGGGCGCTCACGGGGGATTATTACCAACTTTGCGTGCGTGTCAAGCGAGTGGGACATTCGTCGTGTTATTCTGTGGGGGAAGTTAAGAGAGCAGATTCGGGTCCAAAGGGCCCTCAGCTAAGTTAGGTTTTTATGAGGAACCTCTCAGATTGATTGTCTCAGCCAACGTATTGGACCTTCTGATGTTTTGGGGAACTTGTATTACACAGTAATGGCAGAGTTGTGTTAGAGAAACATTATTTTCCAATGACTTACGATTAACGGTGAATTATATATCAATGGTTTATTTGGTCTAAAGACAGTGTCCTAATGATGAAATGTTATCAGCAGGTTAAAATCGTGACTAAAGGTAAAACGTATTTTTAGCCATGATAGAATAGTACTTGTATAAATTACATAGCATATTTAGACATACTCTCATTACATGTATAATCCACAATCGTTTCAAGTACATACAGACATCGTTGGGGCCATCATTACGTGTTAACCAGGCGGATTATAAAAAAAGGTAGGGCAATTAAGATAGCCCATAACGGTTAACGGAAAAGGGCATGCAGGCAATAACTTACCAACCCGGTGAAGTTATTCACGCATGCAAGTAAACTATAAAGTGAGGTAAAAAGAAAATAGCACTGAGCTTTTACATTGGAGAGTATTTATGCCAGCTACAGCCGTCAACGTCCAAGCATTACGCCACATCAATCACAGGAGTATGACCCGATGTAATGCCTTTTCTTAATGTCTTCACCCAGCGACACAAGAGAATAAACTCCTAAAAGCCGTTACAGTAAGTACCCTCTAGGCACTGTACAGAATCACGTTTGACGTATTGGGATTGTTATTCCATGGGGGAGGTGATTTTTTACCTCTATGGTTATTCCTAATAACGCTAATAAATTTCAAAGGCGGCTGAGATAAAACTTTTTATAGCCCAATTACCCAGGGCAATATGAGATGTGGGATCTGGTAAAAACCTTTAAAAACTATGACATCATGCGAGCACGGTCCTCAGAAATCTTGGCTGGCATCCTTATAATCGTTTCTAACTGCGTCACCACACCCGCCGTGGACCATAAAGGTAAGCCGCCGTCATAAAGTGGCGTCATGTAATAGGCATTTTTGGTCCGAGAATTCGAAACAGAGTAACATGATACTCGTACCCTAGTGTGCCATCTCTGGAGGCCGTATAGACGAATCCTACCAAGTCGGTGTTCCGTCTTCCCGCCACGTTTGATTCACTCATGACGTCATCACGCTTCCGGCTTCCGGAAAGTCATTCATCTGTTGAAGGTTGAGCCGGAGTTCGACCGAAAATTCATGGTGGCTTTCCTTTGTTGTGCTGGAACGAAGTTTAAACTTTACAACTATGGATTCTGATAAAACAGATGACATTTCGTTCGAAGTTGGTGGCTTCATGTTGTTGTAACAATATCAACGTTATGACTGTTGGCGACAAGAGGTTTAGCCTACATGGGTGCCATCCGATTTGTAACGGCAAATCTTGTCGGGGTTGCCGTTATTACAAATCGGATGGCACCCAGCTGCAGGCTACAAGAGGTTATCCTGGCACAATTCTTCACTACAGACCTCAATACAAAGACATGCCTGCACAAAATGTATAATATTACGCAAAGTTGACGCTTTAAATAAATCGGACGACAACAGCTAGGTTACGGTAGATGTACCATTTCAACAGATATAAAAAGTGTTTCCAGTTATCAATAATTCTGACGGCTACATATCAGAACTCTGTCTACAGTCCGGTACCGATAATAATAGCTAGTCTTTAATGGATCCATCCGTCAAGACTGTGAAACAATACACCCCCACGGTACGCAGGTGGTTTGGTCGGATGATATATCTAACGTTACACGACTCGGGACAAGCCCAGATCGCAGATCGCACGGTGCGGTAGGAGACCGGAGCAGACTGTGGGGGCTAGTGGTGCACCAGTGACGTGGGACGTTGGTAGACCGTACACCTGTGAGCGACTTGATCCAGTGAGCGTTTCCGTAACATACAGCACCAAACCGTACGTTACTACCTGACATCCTGTCTGCTGCATTTGCCGTACTACTACAGGTATGTACGTAATCGTACTCTCGTATGTACAGGAATTTTCGTGTTTCCGCAAAAAAATGTTGATACAATGGGTCATACACCGATGATCGAGTAAGCGTGTCTGTAACATACAGCACCAAACCGTCACTACCTGACATCCTGTGTGAACCGTCTGCATTGGCCGTACTACAGACATGTACGTAATCGTAATTCTCGTATGTACAGGAATTTCGTGTTTCCGTCAAAAAAATGTTACAATGGAGTCAAACCAGTAGCCTGAAGTCCAGTCTTGCTATAGGTCCTCTCATAGGGAGCGAAGTTTTGGAGTAGACCTATAGCTAACAAGGCTGGATTTTAGACTATCGATGCAGTGCTAGTGACCACCTAAGTTGCATCTTGGCCACTGTAACCACTTTATAGATTATTTTACCTCTTGACCCAAGAATTAAGAATCCTGTCCAGTGGAGTATGTTTTATTCAAATCCTTTGGTGTGCATCTACAAACAGGTTTGACTGAAATGAAATACTAGTGTGTACATAACAATCTTTCTATACGCGTATTTGCTGATTTTATCGTTACAACAAACACATCTATTATCTGAACATACGTCCACATGTGTATCTGTTTTGTACGTACACAGTACAAATTTCTTTCCTGCTTGATCAATTGTTAGGTAGCACATTCCGTGTTTTCCTATAAACTGTACGGTACGATGTACCATAATCAAAAAGAACGGATGCGTTGGAGCTTAAAAAATAAATAGCTCTGATGTCATTCTTCTTGGCAAAACCGTAGCCCGTAACGATAAAAGGAGTTGAAAAGTAATTAAAACCTTGATACAGTCCGGTATAAATTCAGACTTGCCGACGCCAGCGAATGCCCTGCTATTAGATCCACGCGCACCGCTTCTATGTGCAATCTAGCAGAGTGTAATCTGTTACCGCATGCAGAATTCTAAAGCAAGGACATTACGTGTTTCTATACATGTGTCTCTTACAGATAAATGGATCAATTTAGAAAGGCGTACCCATTATAGCACCTGAGAGATTTATAGTACAGGGCACACACACTGCAATGTGCGTGATGGCCCAGAATGGCTAGTTTTACGTATCAATCACGACCGAGGCACGTTATTATTGGTGAAAAATGCAAGGCTGTCCTTGTCAGGTCATCTACCTTTTCAGGGTTGGAAATTTCCACTCTGTGAGGTTGTGTGGGGTATGTGGGGGCGTGTGGCGTAACGACAGAGCGTTCGGCCCGGAACCAAGAGGTCCCGAGTTCGAATCCTGCCATGCCACCGATCTTGTGCCCTTGGAAAAGGCACTTTACACTTTACTCAGTTGAAAATGAGTATGCCGTTCATGCGTTTGTCTACGTTGGTGGCGGCATAAAATAAGTTTTTAAAAGTTGTGCCGTCGCCATGTCTTGTAAAAAATGCTGGAATAGAAAAAAGTATCCACTCTCGTCCTTTTGCCGCGCAGATCATGGTTTCT